AGAAAGGACCTCTGTTCCAGTGGGAAGGTGTTGTGCAAAAACTAACTAATTAGTTCTTAGTAACTAGACCAACTAGTTCTTAGTAAGCCTCGCCTAATTCAACGCTTCGACGCCATGCAGTTCAGACATGAGGTTGCATTTCCTGTCCGATATCATGCTCAGTGCCGGAGCATCGAGGCATCTTGACAATTAGTATTAAGACGCTGACAAGCGTCGATGACCTTGAGCGATGACGCGCCTACTATAATTTCTCCAATAAGGTGGCGCCATACGCCCCGATGCGGTAAGAGTGTGGTAGTTGGACCTTCCGCTTGATTTAACATAATACTGATTGCCGCTAACAGATGGCATTGTACTTAAAATACACACATACTATCAAACCAAAAAATATCAAAGCATATAAAAACTGGACATGTTATGCAAACAAGAAACAACCCACACCTCGAGTGAAATTGAGTTACGTATTTAGGTAGAACACCAGACGGTCCTTTACTCGCTCCCAAAAGATCTTGGCAACATACCAAGCCAAAACGGAGAAAATAAAAGCCCTTTAGGGTGCCAACCCTACATAAATATTTTTTTAATAGCTAAAAAGAACCCTCTTGAATGTCTTTTTTTAAATATGCTAAACGGATCCATGTCACATGTACTGAAGTACTGTAGATCTTTGGCGTTTTCATTACGAAAACTAGAACATGGTTCTCGTTAACTAAATAAATGTTAACTAAATAATGTTTTCTATTTATTGCTATATAATATAATAGATTCCCTATATCGTTCTCACTGCCACAGTACATCGTTTGTCTCAAATAGTTATGCGCCGAGTACAAGTTTTACCGAGTAACCGAGTTCCGATAATTTTTTTTTTTTTTTTTTTTTTTTTTATACCTGACAGGCAAATGACTCCACTCCACCTGATGTTAAGTGGAAAGTGGTATCCAAACACGAAGGAACCTAGTGCAGCGATGGAATCCTCACTGCACTAGCCGCCTCCACCCTGCCTGCCTACAATATGCCTCTTCACGCCTCGTTTGAAGGACCCCATATCATAAGAGGGAGGGAAGACATATTACTCGGTTTAACATTTGCCGAGCCGAGTACTCGGTTCATTGCAACTGGAAACCGATGATCCTAAAAGCCCCCGTCGCTCTAGAATTAGGTCGATATGTCAATGAAAGTTTATTGTCGCGAGAGCAGAGTCCTCTCCAATGGTGGGCAGAGCATAAAACAAAATATCCAAAACTGGCACAGTAAGTACGAGTGTTTTTATGTACACCTGCAAGCACTGTGTATAGCGAGCGGTTATTTGCCGAAGAGGGTAATGTGTATGAAGAAAAAAGGAACAGACTATTACCTGAACGCGCAGAAACCTTGTTCCTTCAAATTCATATTCTACATCATAACTTGCCTTTGTTAAACTTTAAATGTTAATAATGTAAAATTTATTTTTAAATTACTAAATTGCTAGAAATTGTTACAATTGCCTTCAATTTCTAGTAATAAATCTCTTTTGAATATTTTAAATATATTGTTGATTTTACTTTATTATGTCTATGCTGTGATGCTTTATTTTAACCGAGTACTCTTCTCATGAACCGAGTTAGTCGGTAGAGTACACCGAGTACCGAGTAGCAAACGAGTACTCGGCGCATCTCTAGTCTCAAATAACTTACCTATTTATTTCTTCACACTGTTTTTACAAAAATCTAATTATCTCGAAAGTGACATTTTCTGGGTTGGTTATAGTTTGCATAACTATGTCCAACTACATATCTCATAAGTATCGTGTTCGACGGTAGACAGCCGATTACAATACAATATAAATTAATTTGTTAAAACCATGTCAAAACAGAGATCTGGCAAAGTATCCCACGAACGCAAGCTACCCAGCAGAAGTTTTCAACGTTGCAATTTTACTAAATAATCAAGGACGCAAACAATAATTTCATTTTTGTTTTGAATACTACTTTGTGTTTTAGGTTCTAATCCAACCAAAAATATATTTCTTTTTATGCTCGCCTAATGGTAAAAAAATTGATTTTTTAAATATTTTGTTTTGATTTCAACGAATTGGTGCATTATATTTACTTATTTACGTATTTTTTTGTATATGATATTTTTTTTTTTTTTTTTTTAATTTATTGATTTTTCCACACTGTTAAGTGCCTGTCCATAATTTACAAGCAAATATTTAGCTCGTACTTTAGTAGGCGAAAGTTATTTTGTACTCGTAAATTTGTTATTGTCTTTTATTTAAAACAAATGAAGTGTCAGGATCAAGAAAGTTCCATTTAAATAACCACACCAAATTTGGTAGTAAGCAAGTTTGGTTTGCCCGAGAAAAATATGTCAAAAAATAACCACCAGAGTCTCGCTGTAATCCAATTTTGTATTACCTATGACAATAAGCAATATTCTAGGAATTTCAAGCTACACTTCAAGATACGTGTTACAGGAGGATGTACTATTTTCAAAGTTCCACGTGCTATGTTATCGTCTAAAAACTTACACAAAAACACCATATTTAAGCGATTTTGGGCACCCCATCGCCTTAAGACAGATTTAAGACAATAATAACATGTACTAAAATTGTGATTTAAAATAAAGTTTTCATTTATTAAAAATTATATTTTTTTATGAAAGCTCTCCGAATGAGCTTAACTCGCTACAATTTGACATTGACGCCGTGGCCGAGTGGAGTCGGGTTAATCGATTACCACTAAACGAAAATAAGTGTCAGGTCGTTAACGCCTAAAGGTGACCTTTACGCGGAAACGATCTACTCTGCTTAGTAGATATATTTTAAATGACGCTCCTTTGGATAGAGTTAATATTCTTCACCTTGGACTAGTATTAGATGTCAAACTAGATTTTCATACTCATGTGACTGAAATGTGCAAGAAAGCTAGCAAAGCCCTAGGTTTTATTATGAGAACTGCTTCACAATTCCAGGACAATAGAGTAGCAAAAGTTTTGTGTAATGCGTACGTTCGCAGTAAACTTGAGTACGGTACTATCATTTGGGATCCTCACGAAAATAAATGTAACCTTATAGTGCAAAGACTACAACATAAATTCGCTCGATGGCTGTACAAGAGAACTACGAACGAGTATTATCGAGAACGGGTATTATCCGTGTCTCTACCCCTCCTTGTTTGTAACAGTTATGGTTGATTTAGAATCGCTTGAATTTAGGCGCAAATGGACACGCATTGTATATTTTACCTATTAATCGTACACAACAAAATGGACAGTCCTGACATCCTGGAGAAATTAAAGTATTCATGTGCTGACTCGCATCAGCTGAGACGAGTCTGGGATAGTGGCCCCGCGCCGCGCTTGCTGCGACTATAATATAAAATTGTTTCTTGTTATTTTCTATGAAAACAAGGTTGGTACGAAAATGTGATCGATCGGATATATTACGGATACGGTTTATACACGTCTCCATGCAGCGAGAAACTTTGTTGACCTGTAGATTAAACTGATAAAGTAATCCGCGGGCCCACCGCGCGGGCGCTCATGCTCATCGACAATATGCTCGCTGACCGCTATGACATTGACCTATTTGGTGATTCCTTTGGACAACCTCTTAAGAAGGCGAACTTGTTTTTAAATGACTTGTTTTTACGTATTGAAAATTAGTTACTCAAGTACAGTCATATACAAAAGATACCTGACCCCTCAAGTCGACTTCGTCGACATTTTGGTTCTGAGCACAAAAATGTGGAGAAAATTGTTAAACAAACTTAATCTTTAACCAGTGAGCCGTAAAATTTATTTTGGTATGACTCCCTGCTCGTCTCATTAGTGAACGACATTGTAAAAAAGTTTTTAAGCCACTTTGTTCTTTAACGTATAGTTCTTACTTAAATACAGAATACAAATTTCAACCAGCTACTAATAAATGTAAATTAAAGTATAATAAATAATAAGGTAAATGTCAAATTCATGTTACTGAGTAAAGGGACTTTTCCAATACAGGTTCTTCAGCTTGCGCCTGAACACCTCCTTACAACATTCACTTTTTAGTTTGGCCGGTAGGTGCTCGTAGTAGGTCCTTTCTTGTGTAGTGCAGTGCGACGCGGTACTGGCAGGAGTTGTCCTGCGCGACCGAGGCACCCACCCTTCACCTTCACTCGCCTAAATCGTGCTAAGTGTCTCCGCGTGTACATAATGACCTCGAGAACATATTGCAAGTGGTGGGACATTATTCAATGTACAGCAAACAGCGCCTTGCAGGATTGCCTCAGGTTCTTCATGAAATCTTGGACTTCATATCGTCGTAGCTTTGATTGATAATTCCATACCTTTTCCAATCTCTGACGTTGTGATTATATTTTGGTGAAGTTAGGATTTCAATTCAGCAACTTCTTTGACGAGCTTGGACATAGAGGACGTTTGCTCAGCTCTCCAAGAGTTCCTGGTGCTTGGTACGCTATCCACACTTGTAGATAGTGCTGCGTAATTCGTTCGCGTCCGCTCACTGAGGTTTGGCGCGATGGCAGAACGCCTGTCTGAGACGCCGCCGCAGACCCGGGGAACTACTATGTAATCTGTGACCCGGGTTCAAATCTCACGCGAGCATCATAAAAAAAAGAAATGTCCTAAGAAAATCAACATTTTTCCAAAGAGCCGTCTTTGAAAAAAGTTAAGACGAAACAGAAGGTCCGAGTTTTAAGAGACGTTGAGAGCTATTGAAACGCGACGATGCAAACTCGTCGTCGTCGATATTGCTATATCTACTACCGTGTAATCGTTACTCATCTATTCAACGCGGAAACTGTGCGGCGTGATTACGCGCGACGGCGGTGCGGCTACGGTGCGGTTTTGATATGTGTACACAGTGTTGCGGTGCGGCACCGGTGCCGTGTACCTGAATCCTAAGGCTGTCCCACAGATGCATATCCAAATCCCACTACAGAGCACGTGACCTGAATTTACACCTTTATTGATACAAAATAACTCGACCAAAAAGACAATACGTTTAGATATCGTACCTTTTATATCAAAAATCCACAGTATGAACCATCGTTTGTACCACTTGTAAAGGTCGGCTTTTTCCGGGCACTCGTCTCTGAAACAATTGTAAGTACGTTACGTCAAACCACATAACCGGTATTGAAACCGGTGTTGATGTATTTGGTTTCAAATCAAGATTAATAGACGTTCCCTTATAATGGTGTCAGAACCACAGTTTCTTCTAACAACAACAACTAATGTTGGTTGGTTGTTTAACATGAAAAGCTATCTTATGTCGATGATTATATTTTGGAGCAAGTAGTTTTTACGGTTGCATAGTTTTTACACAGGAAGTAGTTTTTACAAATTCCTACACATTGCTTTAGGTACTCAATAAAGTAACGTGTGATCAAAGTGTAGCAAAAACATTGAAACAATTGAAAAATTAACTTGACTCCTTAACGAGCCGGGGTGTATACAATTATCTTGTACCCAAAGCATATGCTAACTAATATCATTAATTAATCTTGTCTACGTGCCTAAAATTATAACCAATCAATTTGATCGTCAAAATATCAAAAAATCATATTATAGAATGGCGCTGTAATTTGAATATGGCTTATACATGACGATCGATATTTGACGACAGCGAAAGAAATTGTCAAAAAATAATTCCCTTTTCATGCTTCGCGATTTGATTGAGCTATTGTTGTATTTAGGAAATGAAACTATTTTTCCGGATATAAATCGCGTATATTTGTTTTTTAAAACAAACCAACGTTTCGGGGCCTTTACCAGGTCCCATGGTCACAGTTGACTGTCAACCGTGACCAAATACCTTTTTGTCATGTAGTGATAACTTAGTTGCGAGAATGCTTGCCTCTTAGGTGCGACGGCCAGGTTCGATTTCCGATAGGAATCTGCACTGTAAAACTTAGTCTTTCCAAATTATGTGTCAATTCCTTTATTAACTAATTATATTATCACTCCTATGCACAGCATAGGACGTATGTGTGTTGATAAAGCAAAAATAAGTGCAGCGGGCGACACTTTAAACGTGCACGCTGCGCTACTGAACATGCAGACTTGTACCGAGGTGTCTTCGCAGCGGCGTTTAGATGCATCGGGCATTTGATGCATCGGGCATTTGAGCGCTCCATCCAGTGGAAGAGGCGCGGGACCTTGCAGTAAGCGTGCACGATGGTCCACTTGACGTATTTAAATGGGCCGTTTTCGATGAAGCGTTTGATCGTTGGAGCATTTTCGCGTTTCGACGAGCATGTACAAGTGGTGTTTTATTTCGTATGTCAAGATTTGTCGCTACAAATATCGAAAGGGAAGATATTGACACTTATTTAGAAGAGAACGCTTTTTTAAGATATAACGTATTTAGTGAAATGAATTGAAAGCCATAACTCCGGCCCTGTTTGCTTAACTTAATTTCAATGTCATTTTGAACGATATTATAATACAACAATATCCTAGAAGGATGACAAACATGGTTTAATTGGCAACTCTGTCACTGTCGTTATTGTTTTCTCAATTTTTTTTCCGAATTAAAGTTCTTAGTGTTCATTTCTCGTTGAAAACTAAGTTCAATCTAAGGGCGCGTACAAATTAACCGCTGTTAGAAGCGTTACAGCCGCGCAGCGGCCGTGATGCATGCGCGCGGCGGCCACGCGACAGTCGCGCTGCTGAAGTGCGACCAAATTTTTCCATGACTTTTTTATCCAGTCGATTGGGAAAACTGGCGGAACTGCTATCCTATATTGCAGGGTGTTATTTAACATTTTCTATAATACCATATCTCTATAATAGGCCGTGCGGCCGCTGCGCGGTTACAGCGCTTCTAGAAATTGTATGCAAAGTGCGGCGCGCGAATCTCAAAGAGTCGTTGCCTCACTTGCTTAGTGAAATCAGGCGTGACTTCACAACTGAGAATGGGAAAAAGGACGTTGAGATTTGCACTCTACGTTCCGAAGTCACCGACTCAAAGGCCCGAGTAAACCATTTTGAACAACAGTCCCGTGAACGCAACCTGGAAATACAGTGCGTTCCTGAACACTAAACTGAGAATTTAAAAACGGTTATCTAGCTTTTTGTTATATCAATCTATCTAGTAATTTGGGGACGAAAACTAGAACGCAAATACAAAAACTGTGATAATAATGAAATCAGCAGAGCGGTAAAATAAGTGAAATTAAGCGCACTCTTGATCGACAAAGGAATGCCATCTTGGGTTGTGTCGGTCGGCCGGCGGCGGCCGCGTGTTCATTTTTTTTTCATAAAAACATTTTTACAATGTCATGTGCCATTCGGAAGAAGAAAGATTAGATTGGTTCAGTGCAGAAGAAAACATCGCGCTTATAATCAGGACAAAGAACATACGAGAATTTTTCAAGACGAAAACATAAGTCATAATAAGCGGGCGAACGTTACTGACTTGGGAAAACTTCTTAGTAATTATTACAAAACAAAACGTAGTAGAAACTCTCACGAATCACGGTCGAGGACCAGAAAAATTTCACCAAGCGAGCTAAAGAGGTAAATGACATCAAAGACAGTAAAAAACCTGTTTATGTGCACCGAATAAACCAACATATGAAGTCATATGAAGATTTGTGTGAACTGCTGCAAAACAGGTACGCCAGACCATTGTTATCGACCTTGAAGACAGTCGAGTTTAGGAAAAGAAACCAGTTACCGAACGAAAAATACAAGATTACAGCTAAGAAAATTAGCAGGAGAATATAACTTTTCGAGGATAAAATAAAGGGAAAATTTATGGAAGGTGTCGATTAAAAAATGATAAAATTTGAAATTATAACAAGTGGAACGGAGCTATCTTTAGAAAAATGTATTGAAATAGCACGAACAATCGAAGTGGCCTTGTTACATTCAAGCAGTTCAAATGAAGTATCTGAAATTTACTATAACCAAGGAAAAGTCAAGCCAGTGTCTAGACGCGTAGAGTAGTTGAAACAAAAAAATCAATTTTAATCCCCATTAGCTCAACCAGAGCGCAAATATATCTATGAATGTATAAAATAAGAAGGAATAATAAATGAAATGGCTTTCACTTGTTCAGGATGTCTCAATAAAATCTCCGACAGATGTTTCCTAACGTGCCTATCGTGCAAAAACCAGTACGACCTACAATGTGCAAACGTCTCCATCCAACGGTATTACAACACTATGACCACTGAACATAAGAAATCTTGGATTTGCCAATCATGTCGATGCAAAATGCCAAAGAAAGATAATTCAAACACTCCTATCCGCCCACGAGAAAATGAAATCACAAACCAGCCCTTAGATGAAAACAATATTATAATTAGAAAAAAACAGAATTTTACCTTCGATGACTCAACAATCTCTGGCGACACTAGCATCCTTGGAGATACTTTACAAAATGATAGCTGTCTGAAAATAAATTCCCAAACCCAGCAGGAGATACTGAAATCAAAAAATATCATTGACATTGACCACTTCGAATAGCTTTTGGATAGGAAACTAGAAGAAAATAAGTTAACATTACTCTCAGAATTACGATCCCTTATACTGTCTGAAGTAAATATAGCTATTTCTGGTCTGAAAAGCGAAATATTGAAAAACACGAGTAGTCTACGATGCGAACAGGCAAAACAGAAATTGGACCTACAGGAAATAAATAACACCATTAATGTATTGGAAATAGAAAGCAAAAACATGCAAACCCAAATTGAAGAACTAAAAAATCACATGACATATCCAAAAGACTCTTCTTTTACTAACTATTTGGGAGGTGAAAAAGACCACAAACATAAGGATGACTGCAAGGGAATTGTACTGCACGAACTCCCTTTTAACTACCGGGAGACTGAAAACGAATTGTGCGATCGCGTCGAAAATATCTTTGAAGATGTAACGAATATACACCTGTTACCTTACATTGATGACCTAGTAAGAATAGGTAGGAAAAGTACAAACAGACCAATCGTTATTGAGTTAGTGACAAAAAAAGTCACAAAATTTCTCCTGGAAAATAAGTATTTATTTAAAGATACAGGCTTATCAATTACTGAATTCTTAACACCAGAATTACTGAAAAAAAGAAAACAACTCAGAGAAAGCCTCCGTAGAGCTCGTAAAGAAGGGCACCACGCAGTTATCAAAAATGATACATTAATAGTAGATGGGAAAGTATACAGCGAGTTCTACACTTCTGCCACCGAATCCAGACGAGACACAGAGCCCCAAACCTTCAATAGTGAGCATGTAAACAAAGGTCCTGCTACTGAAAACCGTAGGTCGTTGAACGGCTCTCAAGCTACAACATTCGACAACACAACAACCACCTTTCCCACAAAAGAAAAAAAATCTTTCGTAAATAATTTTGAAATTTTATATCAGAACATACAAAGCTTTAAAACTTTTTTAAGCTGCCGGAAGGCATTGCATTTAGACGGTTTATTGATTACAAGAGGCAATCAACTTTAAATAGTAATGAATCAAATAGAAAATAAAAATACTACCGTGTTATTTAGTTTTAATTGTAAATCAGTAACTAGGTCAGTAGACGGTGTTCGGGCGCTGTGTAGGCAAGCTGATGTGATTGCCCTTCAGGAGACTTGGCTCTTGCCTCATGACGTCACTTATATTGGATGTATAGACCCAGATTTCGGTTTTACCAGTAAATCTGCGGTGGACACCTCTGCTGGAACTCTCCGTGGAAGGCCGCATGGTGGTGTGGCTATTATGTGGAGGAAGAGTGCCTTCTCACTAGTATCAGTGCTGGAGTGTAAAAGTGTAAGGCTCGCGGCAATTAAGGTTGCGACGTCTGAGTGCTCGTTTTTAGTTTTCTCGGTATATATGCCTACGGATGACATTGACAACTTAATTGAATACACGGAATGTTTAAGTGAAATCAGCGCGGTTATAGATATATGCGAGGTGGACTCTGTGTTTATATTAGGCGATTTTAATTCACACCCAAATGAGTTGTTTTATAAGGAAATGTGTAGTTTTTGTGAAGAACAGAGCTGGGTCTGTGCGGATGTGAGATTTCTGGGGCTGGGGTCGGATGCCTACACGTTTGTTAGTGAAGCTCATGGCTGCAGGCGCTGGCTTGATCAC